CAGGAGGATAGATAGAAGTGTATACAGATGAGTCCTTGGAAAGTTGAAACATGTCTCGTCCAAATTGCAGTCCATGATTCAAGGCGTTTAATTTATGTACGATACGAGACATACACATGGATTCCCGAGCCTTGATAGTTGTCGTGACCGTACAGAGACAAGGCCACTGAGCCTTACAAGTCGGCTCAGTAGTCCATGCGAATAAACTCTCTGGTTTGAAGCTGCTTCTTCCTATGGTGAACGAAGAGACCGAATAGACAAAATAGAACGATGGATTCGCAATATCCAAGGATGCCTTCGAGGTAAGGAACCACCCTGTATCGGGGGACTGAGTCGGTTTCGCCGTGCATTGCCGTGAATATTGGCACCCATGAGCCTGCTGCCCATAGGAGGGCAAGTAGACAGGCAATAGTGCAGTTCGCTGCGGTAATTGTATACGACGGATATACGGTGTCACTAGTATAGGCGTGTTGTTCTTGTATGGTGGGTATCTCGTTTGGTTCTACGTCTTGGTCAGTCAGAGATGCTGGACGGTAGACCGAAGTTCGCGATTGATTAATCGAGCTCGCAATGGTAGCTTGGACGAGAGGAGGCGGTCCAACTTTGCTCCTAGAGAGTATAACGAGGGTTATGTGGTAGATGGTGGTCAAGAGACCAGCGATTGGTATTACGAAGAAACCGAATAACCCCGTATTGACCATGGAGAAGATAAATGTGCATAATATGAGGAAGTATGAAGCCAAGAACAGTCTAGAAACTGCCACAGGAAGAGGTCTAGTGTGCATCCTAGCTGTAAATCGACGGGCTCAGACCTGTCTCAGGGGTATAATGGAAGGAAGGGGGTTAAGATATATGCTAATGAGTGGCGAAGTGTCGAACTGTATGTCGATTATTTTTAAGCGATTTTTCGTTAACGAAAGTCGGTGATAAGCTAGGTGGGTTGGGTCCAGAAATGAGAGTGCAGTGAAGACAATGAATGGGTCTAGCCAAACTCGCCAAATGTCACAAGCAGGCCAAGAAAGCCCGAAAACAATGGAAGGGCTTCTAACCTCAATTGAATCCAATGGAACTCCATCCTCTCGAAGAGGGACAATATCACTACTAGTGAGTTATTGGAATCAAACCGGTCGTCGGGTATGAAGGTTGCAAGTCAAAGGTGGATCTCGAACGTGCATTGATTGCCTTTGTGAGACTTTTTGCTGAGCCCAATCTTCATTTTGAATGTTTTCTTCTCGTTATCTTCGGCGTTTGTGCGGTCAGTCCGTAAAGGGAGGAGGAAGAGGAGTTCAAGCTCGAGACGAGTGGTACTCCTCCTCGCGCAAAATGGTACACGAAGGGCATAGGATTCTAACATAAGGCAGCAGATAGAATACATTGATACATATGATACTCGAAAAGTCCAATTATGCCCAAATCTCAGTCCGTAATCAGTGACTCTGGAACTACGTATGATACCAAAGCTACAAATGATTCCCAAGCCTTACCCATTGTAATAATCATGCAGATATAAGAACTATGGGAGCTTAAAAACCCGCTCAGCTGACCATACGAATGAACTCCCCGGTTCGAAGCTGCTTCCTCCTATGATACACGAAGAGGCCAAACAGCCAGAATAGAATAATACATTCGAAACATCCAAAGATACCTTCCAGGTAAGGAAGAACTCTGTCTCGTGGGTTTGAGTCGTTTCTGTTTATCCACCCACTATAGATTGGAGGCCAAGAACCGACTGCCCATAGTAAGGCAAGTACACAGGTACTTATACAATTGATCACATGGATTGTATAAGATGGATACACCACGTTGTCTGGATTTACATGTCGTTCCTGTAAGGTGGGCAACCCACCCCGACTCGAAGTGTATGCCAGTCGGAGATACTGGAGGGTATACTGAAGCTTGAGATCGATTAACCGAACCAGAATTCGTGGTTTGGGTGATCGGAGGAGTTAGTGGCCCGACTTTGAGTTTAGAAAGTACCACGAGGGTTATGTGGTAGATGGTGGTCAAGACACCAGCGATTGGGGTAACAAACTGGCTGTATCGTCCTAGGTTCACCATAGAAGCGATGAATGTAAACAATATCAAGAAATATGAGACCCAGAATAACCTAGAAATTGTTGTAGGGAGAGTTCTGGTATCCATTCTGATTGTAAAACGACGTGCCCAGTTGGTGTGGTGGGTTTGGTGATGTCGTACTTTATGTGAATCTTTTATACCTATTTTTTTCACAAGGTTATGCGGTTATCTGGCTTCTTTGAGGCTGGAAATGAGGGTGCGGTGAAGTTCATGAGGACCACATGCCGGCCAAGCAAACTTCGCCATTATAGGAGGACTACTCCCATACCTAAATCGGTTTAGCGAGTTCTATCTTCCTGGAAAGACGAAAATATACAACAAGACGCTTATTGGGATCAAGCCGGTTGTCGGTGTTAGCTCTCGTCAAAGTAATTGATCCATTTATAACAATGAGAAGCTAAAGTAACATTGAAGTCAATAGGATATCTACTCGCATGCTTAAGTACATAAACTTCGAGTACGATGCGACAGGATAGATAGAGATATATGAGTCTAGCTTTGGAATGTCCGACCATGTCTCGTCGTGCGCAAACAGAAATACTTGGTCACTGTATTAAATATGTATGGAGTCATCGATCAAATTTGTCTCTATGGTGTTGTTTTCACACAAGCGAGAAATATTGGCGCCTGTAGGATGTTACTCGAACATCGACTCAGTGAGTCAAGGGAATCGAGTCTGCAGCTCGAGGTTGTTGCTTCTTCCTATGGTGAACGAAGACGCCAAAGAGACAGAACAAAAGGACACATTCAAGATATCCAAAAGTTCCTTCAAAGTTAGGGAGAGACTTTCTTCGTGCGGTTCTCGGGGTGACTTCGTCTCCATACGAGACTAAGAATGGCACCCAGGAGGAACATCCCCATAAAAGTGCGAGTAGAAAGGTTATGGTGCAATTTGCCACGTTGATCATGTGTGATGGATAGACGTGCCATCCACTTGGTCCTACATTGGAGTCGGTTGGGAGTGCTGGACGAGAGACCAAGGTTGATTCGGAGGTATTGGTGACATTTGGTGGCCTAGCTTTGAGTAGGGAGATCGCAACTAGAGTTATGTGATGGAGAATGGTTAAAGCCACCGACACCGGCACCAAGTAGAGGTCAAACTCTGCCAAGTTGACCATCGAGAGGACAAAGGTGATAAACATGAGGATTCCAGAGGTGTAAAAGAACACTAAGACTGTCATTGGAAGAGGTTTAGCAGACATTCTGGTTGTGAATCGATGGGACCAGACTCGTCTCGAATGGGTTATAACCGCAATGTAGACTGAAGACGTTGTGCTTTATAGGAATTCTTTTCTGTATACTTCTTTTACGATATTTCGTGATTAGACGGTCTCAATGAGGGGGGGCGGTGGGACTCAGGGGGCCACAAGTTCGTTCCAAGAAGTCGAGGATAGCCGGATGGTAGGTCGGCGTAGCACTTTTCCAGCCCGATGGGGGAACCATCACTCTGTCCGAGATATGAGCTTCATTTCTGTTCAATTTAAGGGCCCAGATACCACCAAACCCCCGTGCAGGTCGCTCTTAAGGCCTTTACAAAAGCGACTCGCTGATCTCTGCCCTTCATACGTAAATTATTGTCATGATAAGATCTCAAAAGTAGCGGTGTAAACCTACTTTTAAGCTGTCCTTCAGGTTCCTGAAGCTGCTGCTTGCCCAAACCCCGCAAGACAACTGGACAATATAGGAGGAGTACCCTGACCTCCAAATGGGCTCAGTAGAATTCCATCCTCTTCAACAGTTCCAATGATGCGTTAATTGGGGCTAAATTGGTCGTCGGCTATGGTGGTCGAGGGCCAAGGAGGACGGTTTATAACTTCTGAGCCACAACCTTAGAGACCTGAACGTAGTGCGAGTCTTTTGATTCACGCAACTCTGTGATCTTGTGAGGCCAATCTTTAAATTCATAACAAGAACGAGTAACACAGGTCAACAGCAAGTCCCACTCGCACGAGTGGGTATGTAAATTTCAAGTAGGATATGACATGATAGCTAGAATATAATGGTACAGATAAGTCCGTGGAATGTCCAATCGTGTCTCGTTATGCCCAAACTCTGTCCATGATTAAATTGTGACCCCTGTCTGAGACCCAAATACATATAGATCCCTTGGTCAGCCTTTCCAACTGCAGTCACTACTTCATTCAAAAGCGAGAGTCATTTGTGTTTGTGGATTGCTACTCTCGAGTCGACTCAATGAGTCATGGGAATGGAATCCTTGGACCGGAGTTGTTTTCTCCTATGGTGGACGAGGAGACCAAAGAGCCAGAATAGAAGGAGAGATTCGCAAATCATAAAACTCCCTTCAAAGTAGGGGATGATGGTGTTTCGTACGGTTACAATTCCCTCGTTGCAATATACCGCAAAGAATGGCACC